CCCCCGGCTGTCTAACGTGTTCACCTCTAGAAGTTTTCAGACAGTCTCCCAGCGACTGCGACTCTTTTTGACGGAGATCTACATCTTTGTATGCTAGGTAAATGGAAGATAAAATTCGTGGGTGCATAAACCAAGAGCTGGGGTAAATGACAGTGTAGTAGAATTTTCAATGCATGCATAGAAGAGGAGAGGTGCGAAAAATTACTGAGCAATTGAGGGTTAGTTTTGTTCTTTGATTAGTAGCCCTGGCTAAATCAAGACAAGATGGATGCAGGAGAAATCGATTCATTGATATTTTTTTCATTTTACTGGTGTTCATGCAATCAATCATTGGGTTTTATTGTGCATAAGTTTAGTCCTGGAAGCGTATCGAATTGTTCTCCATTCACGAATGAAAACCTTTTTTTGTATCCTCGATTCTTGTTTTAATGTCCGATGTCCGTCTCGTTTGAATCTCTGGAGAAGGCAATAAATAGCAAAAGGCACCAAGAAACTAACCACCACTTTGAATAATTTCGCTTTCAAAATTAAAACAATTGTTTTCATCGACAAACTAAATCGGAACTCAAAAATGCGTTAGTCGTTGATTTACAACTGCTAACTTTCCATATGAAATCAATGAGGTCTATGTGTATGCAGTCCTGAACAGAATAGATCGTCACTCGCATTCATTCTACCCTGACTACCTGATCGCCACCTGCACAGAACCATGCTTTTCACGCGTTTCGTGCATCATTGCACACTTTGCCGGTTTATTCCCTCAAGAAGTGTACAGAGTAAGTTAACCTAAACAGTTTGAAACAGTGTAGCACCTTAGACTGTATTTCTGAGTATTTACCATATATGAACATGCATTCTCTTCGGTGTTGTCAACCTCCAAGTATCATCACTAGGACAGTTCCCCAAATGCATTCGATCGAGGTTGCCACCAGTAATTCTTCTTTCTCGTGTACGGATAATTACGGTTTGATATAAGTTGTTGGAATCTGGATTTTGTAGTTTGTGTGAGTGATGGAGGATTTGATTCAATTTCAAAGGGGGAATTCGTTGTGTATATAGCAAATGAAGCATGAGCTGAAAAGTTAAGAAGCACTGGACAGCTGTTGCGACCTGGTTAGGTCTCATCAGCAGTGCGAATCCATCGACCCAACTGGGAATCGAACCCGGTCTGATCAGTTGTCCTGTGGCCGAGTGGGCAGCATGTTTGCGTTCTGCCTGTAAGGTCCGGGTTTGATCCCCATTTAGGCCGATAGATTCACACTGCTAACCAGACCCAACCAGGTCAAAACAGCTGTCCCGTGCTTCCTAGCTTTTGTAGTTTAGTCAGTTCTGTTCCCTGCTGAATCAGCATCTTTCCTTGACGAAAAATGATGTTTGCGGCTACGACTGAAATCGATGAGTCACTGAAGACTCAATAGCGGTTTCGGGGAAATTCTGTTCTCAATTGGTTGGAAATACAATAGAGGAGAGGTTTGTTTGGGGTGTGTGCACCAAGGTCTTTCAAATGATGTGCAATCTGATCGATTCCCTGACTCTTAACCCGAGCGGTTGAAAAGCCTGCCTTTGTTTTCGCGAATGCCGATTGTACGCATTTCCTTAGTGATATCCGACTGTACATTGTTAGCACTGGACCGATTTTTGAATCGCTTGTCCATCAACCACTCCCCATTTGCTCCCTATATTTTAAGATTTTGATTCCAAACAAGCAGTCAGCAACTTCGGGCCTGGATGCTGAAGAACGGATTATTACAATTGGCCCGAAAGTTTCCCGGTTTTCTAATTCCGAAGCGGTTGAATTATCGTCTCCAAGCGAGTTACTGGATTCCGCCGGGACTGCCGGGACCACTGCCACTTGGAGCAGTCGCTCGGATCAGTCCGCATCGGCTTTGTTCACTTGCGAACTAATAACTGCATCCACTGCTGCATGTTTGCAAATCCTGATCGAGGCAATCACTGATATGGGAGGTCAGTTTCTCGGCCTTGCATCACTTTTCATGGTTCTCTTCTTGCACACTGGCATTTTGCGAGTCAGATCGCCATTTTCAATCCCATAGATTATTGTTCTCCAATACGGCCGGTGGATCGGCATTGACATGGTTCTATAGACTGTTCACCACTCGGTAGCGGCATGCGAAAAGTAGACAGATTCGTACGTTATGTCAAATAACTTAGGGACCACGCGGAATTTTTGTTTCAATGAAATAAAACGCAGTACCTATTTCTGTCAAGAGTTTTTACACTTTTTGATTAACTTTGCTAGTTTGTTTCCAAAATTAACGGACTTGATTAGTGTTGGATACAGCTAATTGAATACATTCTCAAAATACATGATGCTTTTTGTACAAGCAATTGATAACTGCCCTCTGTTAGTATAGGTATAGTAAGGAACAACATCGGTAGAGAGTGGCTGCATTCAAAAATTTCTGTAATTAGTTATTATTTAGTTTGTTGCTCGAAGTTGCACGTCTACGCCCCTTATGCAACACTTGAGTTTTCTGTAACAAACTTTCGCTCTCTCTTTTGGATGCATTACTTCAAGTCAATTAGGATATCCTCTATCTCATCGTGTTTTTTCTATTCACTTTAGATTCCGAAAGCTTGCTCACTCGGCTTTTGGAACGTGTTGCCACAGGGATTGATCTTCGGGCAATTCTGCATGCTGAACAGGGAGGCCTAGAGCAAACTCCGGTCCTGTTCACTCCCACCGCCGGTCAATCCGGCCCAGCGGTCACGGCGCGTGGTGTACAGCAGTTCATCCGCGGGCATCTAAGTGTGCTGNCACAAATCCGGCGTATCTCAGCAGCTGTTCAACCGACAGCTTAGTCGACCCAATCGGACGCAGATGGTGTGTAGTGCTGGTCTGCTAGTGGTCGTGTTGGATTGTGCCGGGCAGCTCACTCAACGATTTCCGCATTTGGCCAAAGCTACTTTGGACGCACTGAGTGATTTTCTACTTGATCCATCTCCCACATTAAGCCGATTAAATCGACAACTTCGTCGATTGGATAAGTCCCGACAGGAAATTATTCATTCCCTGACAGCACAACGAGTGAGTCTGCTTTCTGTTCTCGACTGGATTTGATGTTTATAGTATTCACTTTCAGCTATTCCCCTACACTAATCTTTCTTTCTGTTATAGGTCTAACAGATTTGTGCATCAATAATTCCACCACCGGTTGTGTAAACATTAGTAATCTGGTTTTATCATCACTAAGCGCTTGCACGTTATCTGTTTCTCACTGAGACGTTGGAATACCTGGATCAGTTTCTCTTGTAGCATAGCTCAAGCTTGAATAAGCAACTGATTATTGTTTTCATGGGGTAGTGGAGGATTTAGCTTGGTTATATAGTGAATTTCATCCTACAAAGCAAACAAAGCGTGAATGAAGAAATGTCGATAGCGCCGTTTGTACCTGGTTGGGTCTCATCATAGATGAAGATTGAACCCTGATCCTCACACAAAATACAAATGTACTAACCACTTGATCGTTGGGTAGCTGATCAGACCGTTTTTGATGTTACCTATACGCGATCCAAGCCGACACCGTTTTTACAAGCTTAGTGTGGGTATCACACCTCGCGCATTTCAGCACTGGCCTCCAGGGTTATGGCTGTTGTGACGTTGGAATGGACGATAAAACTGGACTAGTGCGAACCGTGACCCAATGATCTGTGCAGCAGTAACGACCACAAACAGAGCCTTAGACCTAGCAGAATAGTGGACAGTACATGAGTGTGTTCGACTGTGGTACCCGAGATCAGTCCCAATAGAAGCAGGAATGAAACGCCTGGTATTTCTCTCTTTTAGGTAGTCTAATGAACTCACTGTATTTGCATACCTCTCATCATTTAAGGTAATTGTATACCCGTTTATCAGATCACAAACGGGCTAATCTCGCTTCTTATCGTCTCGTTGTGCTTCTGGATAGCGCTATCGTTGCCAGGTGCAATATCACATCTTTTCTTTGGGTATGTCTTGCCGTTTTTGCCGCTCCATGTACCAGGGGTAAAAATGCCTGTTCGGTTCCTCTCAATGGTGGATACAGAACTCATCTGGTACAATTTACGTTCAGTCTAACTCTGATGAACTTAGTACATCATCTTGTCGTTGATTGAAGACATTGAACGAATGCTGCTCTCCCTCTATTTAAATGGAGAATTCATCACAATTGAGCAAGCAAATCATGAAAACTTTCCTTTTTGATTCCCTTTTTTGGTTCTACAATTGTCTGATGCCTTGTCCTTTGATGGTCTCAAATGGCTGGTTTTCTGAACCAGATAATATTAAACTACTTGTTGCCCCCGTGGTTAGTTTTTGAATATTCTTGTGATTATTTTCTACTCTTCAACTGTAAGTTTTCTTGTGTGTTCATATAGTATCTTCAAATTCTATTCACTGCTTGTTACACGTAAGGTGACGTATGGTAGAGCGAACCGGTTCTTGTGGCATTTTTAGCTGGATTTGTAGATATTTACATACATTCAATCGTTATCTGCAAAGCGGCCCGACAACTCTCTCTTTCTCCTTCCTAAATATCAACTTATCTTCACACATGCCCACTCTAGTGAGTTAATACACACTAATATATGAGAAAATAACTCCTAATTTCTTTGGTTCAATTAATCAGGGCACCCATAGTGATCCATACTTATATGGACTTCCGTCCCAGTTCGCGGAATTGGCTCGTATCGAACGCCACGTGGTTTACTATCAACGTGTTTTGGATCATGTACGGGGTGCAGCAATTCAGAGCCTGTGTCGGTAAGTTTGAAGGCATAATGTTCCATATGTGGCTGTTTATGTGTGCCTACACCAACAGGCTAATTCCGTACGTTTCCCTTAACCCCCACTTACCTAACGTTGCTTCGATGTGCTGGTCTTCCATAACCGTTGGTTACTATGACGACTACCAGTTAGTCATCTGTCAGGATAGAGCCAATGCGCTGTCATTTATTCTATATGTGGACAAGTTTTATCTCATAGCTGGGCTAGCGAGCAAATAACTTTAAGTAATTTGGCCAAATTCAGTCTACTCATCAAATAATTTCCGTTTCTGTCTTCCCAACCATGCAAATCGCACTGGAGTGCCTGATTTCACCTTTTCCTGTCTCTATTCATTGATCTTGTCTAAGCATTCCATTCACTGATTACAGCACTAGCTAGGTGAAATCTTTTCATCGAGTACCCAAATGATTGATTTGCACATAGAATGCAGTGTATCAGATTTATCCAAGAATTGTATTATCTCATGGAAACCAAGTCAAGACTTTGTATCTTTTTCCGTCTAAATTACCAACCTTCCACGCGATCTTTCTGTTTTTTTGTTAACAGATACAAAGCGTTTGCTTTTGTGTACGCCCGAACATTCTACACATAGCTCTAATGTGTGTGTGTGTGGGTGGNGGGGGGGGTGGAGGAGTCACGCGGTCCCAGTCTTGGCCACCACCACCAAAATTTTTTTTTTCGATTCAGTCCTCATTAACCTCACCGTTTACTTCTATTATATTTTCATTCATTCGTGTTCCTTTTTCGTCTAACCTTTGTAAGCTTCAGTTCGCTCCATTATTTGGCAGAGATTCTATTAGAAATATAAGATTACGTTATCACTTTCTTCCAGCTGTCCTTTCATGTTCTTTTTTCCTCATGATTCTATGGTGCTTAGTAGACTAACTAAGTTTCGTGGTTATGACGAAATGTTGGAAAAGGGAAATCGGTAACCTAGGTAGTGAACGACAAATCTCCTATAGAATGCGAAAAACGTGGTATTGATCCAGAATATAGCAAAACTGAACACCATAAACCTTTTATGACGATAGCGGGGTTCGAATCCCAGGCTTTAATATCTGAAGCTACATATGTTTCCGCTCGTGTTTTTTTACGAAAAAGTCCTTACCCTATCTGACCTGTCCTTTAAGAAGTAGTTGCGAACTGATATTAGCCTTGTCGAAATTTTTAGTTGAGTTCACCGCACATGATTTGCAATAACCGTTTTTCATTTATTCACTTTATACAATATACCTTCGTGCGGTCTTTTTATTTTGTAATGCAAAAGGGTTAAATCGATTGCCGCGAAAGCCCGTCGCTCAGTAATGGAAAACTGCAACCTGATTCTTAGACTTGGAGACTTTCGCAGTTATTTTATGAGTATCAAGCTTGGATTAGCCCATCTGATTGTTTAGAATCACCGGGCACTCTTGATGGACCGTATAGCTCGGAGCTAAGGGTTTGAAATCCCGACCTGAATGTTCGCGATTCAAGTCCTGTCAGGGACAAAAAATGTACGTATCGCTGACGAGTCCCAAACAGGACGGGACAGCAATCCGGTGCTCTTTGTCGGTCATCACAAACATTTCCATCGCATCAACCTATGTTGCTATAAACAAAACCAAGTTAATTACACTTATGATTTTATTTTGGCCTTGACTAGTTCGTACGATGATTATCCTTTCATTTCAAATAGATCATGCTACGCTTACTGATACCGATTGGAAATTGTTTGCTTTTGTATGTGATCGTCTGTAACACGGTAGTCTCGTTCGACGAATAATTCGAGTGGAGAATAATTAATAGTTTTAATGTCGATGTTTTCTGTCTGCATCGAATTGGAGTGCATTGCGTCGTTTCATTGCGGTCTTGCTGCAAGTTACGTAGTCATGGTGAATCATTTTACCTAGAATAACTTTGTGCCAACCGTGATCGAACGAAGCGGTGTGACGTATTATCTTATCAAACGTACCATGTTTTACCTGGTCGTTCATTAGATTTGGGTTGTAGTAATCACCGTCATTGTGTTATGTTTGTTAATGTCCAGTCACTAGTCTGAATATTTGCATGATTTCAGGACGCTGTATCTGAAAAAATGATATTCCTTTGTCACCTTTGTGAGCCGCGAGCTACGTGGTTTTTAAGGCTAGGAAAGTGCTAAAAATGACTTGACTCATAGGATCGTACGGTGGAACACTAAAGTCATTTGGGTTTTTTTTTTGGGGGGGGGGGGGGGGGCTTTTTCAAGACCGTTTTGTCGTTGTGATTAAAATAGCTAACATATTGATCCGTTTATTCCTTCTTTTCGTTTTGATCTCCAACTTTAGCGTTCTTTTGGTCAATAACGGTCTGATCGAAACATTCCTTGCTGATTTGTCACGACGAATTTTCAATGCAGCCGAAGGTGGAAGGTATGTCTTCTCTATTGCATCTTCTATTCTCACGGGATATTTGTCATGTCGATCAATAGCCACCTATCTCATTTACCATCTATCGATTGATTTCACTCACGGAATCATTTACAGAGAACCTGTGCTGGTATCGTAATTTAATGGATATACGTTCTTTCCTAAGAAATAAATACCTGTTTATCAGATAGGTTTTTCGTTATAGTAGGTCTTGCTTACTATTCTGGTGTTTCGGGTTTTAGTCAGAACGGTCGAATGACCGAATCAAATTCAAGCGTTAGCGATAAGTGTGAAAACCACTAAGGTTAGTCACACACACACATCAATGTTCACGGTGCTCTGGTTGATCTCAATAACCAAGCATGACATATGCGCCGCATGGCGTTCAAACATTCCACCAGTGTTTAGTTTTAAACACTTATTACAGTGTGTTGAACAACTTGGACAGATGTTGCGTTCTTAGTTGTTGTTTGGGGTAGTTTGTGGGACAAAGGGCGAACGCAATGTAGGTAGTTAATCGTTTTTCTGTTGCTAAACTAGGGGAAGCTCGACAAGTTCAGTTCTGTTTCGCTTGGAGCTTTTCAACATTGCCCCGATGAATGATGTCGGGTAGGTTTGAGGGTAAACGAATCAAGCTCTCTTTTACCCTGTTAAATAATTCGATTGCCATCGCAAGGCAAATCAAAGTTGCGTTTATTTGCATTTGGTTAATGCTGTTTTCTAAATTCCCAATGGATGAGAGATTCATCAATGTTTTGTTCTCTGCTAATTTATTGCCACATGCTCTGGAGCAAGCTGCATGCCAAAACGCAGACACACAACCTGTACTCAATGTTGGTTCAACAGATTTGATGATGCACTGCCCTTTTAGTTTGTTGCATAAGTGGCTTGATATTAACCATATCGTTACTCAGTCGTTCGCACCCAATTAGTCCAATACATTGGTAACAAAATTGGCGGTCAAATAGAAAGATTTCATCTGATCTGGGAGCGGATGGATAAATTGGGGCTAAAGATTTTTTACGAACCACGTCATCCTAACAAGTCAGAAAATAAATGGGCTTCCACACAACGTAGATCGCCATCTTTTCAGAGATGAGCGAAGTTCACTACACTGTATTTCACTGTACGATAATGATAACGACGATTTGTTGTTAGCTTCTTGTTAAAATCAAAGACTTTCACGGAGCGCTTTATCCGGCTCTCCTGCTTCACAAACCTGTAGGCTCTTGGCGTTTTCAAAGTATTGACTTCATCGAGCTCCTCGTATCATCGATGGATGTGGTTAGTGATGCATGAGCTTTTGTTCAACTATAAGTTTTATCTTCTCTCTTCATTCCTCTCGTTGGCTATTGATTCACGAAATTTCCATGGACCCTCAGTTTGGAGATTGGCTGTTCAAATTGGCTATAAATTGTTAACTCTCGACAAGACCAACATGGGAACTCACACTAGAACTGGTTGAAAAGCTTATCTGACACGATGCTCTCTAGCAACCCGTGCCTGTTTTTTTGCTTCACACGAAAACTCGGGAACCAGTATTTTTCTTGTGGCATTTTATTCTAGCATAAAATATCTATTGAACTCGAGCAAATGATCTAGGGAAAACTATTATATATCATATTTCACACACGTCTGAATGCAGACTGTGTGCTCAACAAATCACAATGAACTTTATAAAAAAAGAAAACGTTCCATGAGTTGCGTGTGGGCGGAATAATACCAGGTTACCCAGGATAAGGCAAGGGAATCTACAATTGGAGCCTTCGGCTAGCCAAAGCCTGACCCGCAAGGCAGCGGAGCGTTGTGCGAAAAACGCAGTCCATTGGGAGCCGGTGTCCAGTTCATCGGATCATATGCACTTTTGGCGGGGTCAAACATCCATGGTGCCCAATACACCTCAGTACCCACTCGAACCATCATCATCATTGTACAGCGTAAAACAGTGAAGTGAACTTCACTGATCACTACCAAACTCATAATGCACACAAGTAAGTGAAAATGTGTACGGAGGATAGGAATTGGACTTAATTTTAGGGACGGGAAAAGAAAGTGAACCTCTATAGTCAACACACAGGGTACACAGTCCAATTGTGCATACTATTTCAAGCATTCTGGTCTGATAAGAAGTGGCAACATGATCGCCATTGCTGTCAGTTCGCGGCCATGACCTTCAGTGTCTCCAACCCTGCGTTTTCGGAGTCGTTTGAACCCTAATTCGAAAGACGAGAAACACTTACTCTACCTAATCCCTCTGCGTTTCTTCAGATGGATTAGTAGAAACCGATGACCACACCAAAAAGGTGTGTGGTTCGTAATCCTCCTCTTTACTGGTTTGGAATCTGTGATTTTAGCTAACTCCCCTAGGCGAACTGCCAATGGTTCACCGATATTGGCATTTCGTTCCCTCATTTTAGTGGGAAAACCGCCACGAGAAGACAGTTAATTGCGCTTCCTTAATGGAAAAGCTTGGTCATATAAGATCATTCCTCAAGATTCAAGAGATTATTGACCGGGCGCAACCCGAGACACTCATCCCCACTATACTGAGGCTTTCGGGGCGAAACTGCTGATTCGGAAATGGTCAAATACGCATACACAGGCTCCCAAACTCAGTCAGTTTTCAAAATGAAGGCATCATTTAACAGTGTTGATTTTTAGCTGTAGCACCGATTTCGACTGATTAGTTCGGTCATAAGAAAGAAAATTTCTATAAGCGGATTACCAAACTTGGTTTTAAAAGTTTCTAAACTTGTACCGGGTTTCTTGCACACTATTTCAATAACAAGGTTACTCACTCCAGACACAGGGGGGTTCTTCGGTAGTCTATCACGCTGTCATTCTACTTTCTTCGTGTAGTTGAAATAAAACAGTAGATTCTCAGGGGAACATGTACACGTGACCAAATGGATCACCAGGCCGCGTTTTTGTGTTAGAGATTAGCGGTTAGCTTCATTTGTCCGTTGCCGTGTGTTTATATGTGGGTGCGGTGTTTGAGCTCTTGCATGATCTGGTTAGTAGGCAATGCGATGCACCGCTCGCTCTCTTTTCTACACGGGCTTGCCGGAAGATGACTTCCTGAATGCCTCTCTGCACTTGGTTGTTTGGTAGTACGGTGAAGTTGGTTTCTGAGGCCTGGCAACAGCTTCCAGCACTTCGGCAGACAGTGGATGGCGTACCAGTCTCCGGTGGCTGTTCTTTGCTGTATGAGCGGTACAATAGCCACATGACCGGTTTTGGTCATGAACGCAGACCATCTGCTTTGCCGCACTGCGACCGCGTCGGAATTTCTACCGCAGCACTCCACCAACCGGCGTCCACTGAGGCAATTGTTGATTGGTCTCTGGGTCGAAACTGTACTCCCATCTCTCATCACCACTGCTGATCTCCCAAAATGCATTGAAACGTCCACCATGAAACCTGACAAGCATGGTGTGACACCAATTCACGCGAGCTGCTTTCTGTTCCTCACTGAGCTGATGAGGTACCCAGCATGCCCGGCTTCTCATGTCGAATGGTGCGGATTGATCCCGATGGCTTTTTCCAGCTAGGCCACTGTCACCCGCGCATCCTCCTCCACCATCTCTTGCACAACAGCAATATTGTCCACTGTGGTGGTCTCCACTAGTTGACCGCACCGTGTCTCATCATCCAGGGACCACTTGCCGCGTTTGAAGCTCTTAAACCCAGTACTTGTTAAAGGCGTGGCTACACCGATGGTAGCTCGCAAACGATCACCATTCTGCTTCTGCTTTAAACCACATTTGTGGTGGTAAAAAACCACCGCCCTCCAGTGTCATCGACTGAGTTGCATCCTTACAGTCCCAGTATAACGACCCTTATGACTTATGAGCTGTGCTCCGCTGTTAATATTTGGTTCGAAGAGTTGCAATCACCGAACATTTACAATAGATTACAGTTCACATCTTCCTTGCCCGGTCATCTGCACCTCGTACGTGTACTGCGTATCCGGAGATCGTTTGCTCAGCCCTCGTATATCAGAGCAAACTATATGCAACCAGTAGTCAATTCTGTTTCTCCTCTCCTGGTAGGCCTGCTTCACATTCGAATGGGTCATTTCTTCCTATTTTTCCCATCGTAGAAGGATAAGCTCAGTTTGGCTCTCATTCTTTATGGGTAATAATTATTCCGAATGACAGTCACCCCGTTGACATCGAACGAAAAACTTTCCTCGGCTTATATTATACGAATCAAGTCAACCGAAGTCAAGCATTTACTTTATTGTATTCAAGCCTGGTACATGGTACGGAGAATTTTTGTTGGGCCAGTCTGTGTTCCATCGAAATTTTCATTTTATTTTCAGAGTAACATCTTTTAACTAAAAAATAACAAAATCGATTGTTTTGTTGTTGCATTGGTGTTCGTGTTTAACCAGTCCCTTATGTGTTCACGGAATGGTCTGACAGAATGCTGCGAATTCCACTGACTTAGTGTCCGGAACGGTTTAACAGTTCGGTGATTAAAGTGGATTACCAGCATAATTCTGTCCACAAGTAGAAGATGTGAATGCAAAGGCAAACAAGTGTCGATCCGAAGGTCGTATTTCTTTCCACGATGGTTTCAGTGTTGTGGTCTATTATGCCACTTGTTAGTCTAACCAAGGAAGGACTGGTTTGTAGGACCTCATTTGGAGCCTTTGGTAGGGTAGCTTAACCAAAAAGGGAGTTATGCTACGGGTCTGCAATCTGTTGAAGGTTGTTATTCAGTTAGCCTTTTGCATTGACTGTGTTCAACCAATGGAATGGAAGTCTTTTTCGTTGCTTCCAGTATTATATTGTCAAACAATCTTCGTTGGTTCTTATCGAAATAGTCATCATAATCTGTATTCCTTAAAACCGTGTGGATACGGTTAGAATCGAGGGCATAGGATTTCAGTTTCGCTATTTTATTCTAACCTGTTATTGGGTCGGAAAGAAAATGTGAAGCAAATAACTCGGGGTACTTAATGACCTTATCCGAATATCTACTACAGTTGGTGTTTA